TACACAGCCAGCGCCGCCGTCCTTGGAGAGAGGCAATCATACGGAGTCAAGGGCACACCTGAAGGCTTCGGAAGAGGTACTACGGGAGGTGGCAATGCAGCCTGTGTTGTACCTTCCTCGGTAGCCCAGCTGAAGACCTGGCTCAGCGACAGCACTGCCCGCTGTATCGTACTCGACCGAGAGTTCAACTTCAAGGGTACCGAGGGAACCACAACAGCCACCGGCTGCCGTCCCGCATCCAACAAATGCCCTGGCAACGGAGGTCAAGACGCCATCAACTCTGCCAACTGGTGTGACAACGGAAACGCTGGAGCAGGCGCCACGTCTGTCCAGGTTAAGTACGACAATGCCGGTGTAACTGCCATCAACATGGGCTCCAACAAGTCCCTCATCGGTGTTGGCAACAAGGGTGTCATCCGTGGCAAAGGTCTCCGTATCGCCAACGGAGCACAGAACATTATCATCCAGAACATCCACATTACCGAGCTCAACCCACAGTACATCTGGGGCGGTGACGCTATCACCCTCGACAAGTCCGACCTAGTCTGGATCGGTACGTCTACCCCTTCCCTCCCTCACTCTTCATACATCTAACAACCCCTGCAGACCACGTCAAAATCTCCCTCATCGGCCGCCAAATGTTCGTAGCCGGCTACGGCGCCTCGGGCCGTGTAACAATCAGCAACTCGGAATTCGACGGCAGCACCTCCTGGTCCGCCTCCTGCGACGGCCGCCACTACTGGAGCATCCTCCTCCTCGGCGGCAGCGACCTTATCACCATGAAGGGCAACTACATCCACCACACTTCCGGCCGCAGCCCCAAAGTAGGTGGACAGGGCAACACGCTGCTCCATGCGGTGAACAACTACTTCTACAGCAACACGGGTCATGCCTTTGATATTGAGGCCGGTGGTATGGTCGTTGCTGAGGGCAATGTGTTTCAGAATGTCAACACGCCACTGCTTAACAACAAGGGGCAGCTTTTCTCGGCACCGAGTACGGGCGCCAATGGTGTATGCCAGACTTACCTTGGCCATACTTGCCAACTCAACTCGTTTGGTAGCAGTGGAAGTTTCAGTGGTACTCAGACGGATTTCCTAGTTAACTTCCAGGGAAAGACTGTTGCGGGTGCTTCGGCGGCGAGCTCGAATGTTGCTAACACTGCTGGTGTTGGTAAGATCTAGAGTGAGTTGACAGGGTTCGGTCGAGTTGGAGGTGTGCGCAAAGTATGAGGCCTTCGCCAGTCGGAAGGCGACATGATTTATCTTCTCTGTATCTATTTTACCTTTACCAAATATGTACATACAATCTACAATGCAACGACCAGTTGCATCACCATCAATCCCTCTATGCTTACTCCCCTCCAAAAACCTCCCTAAAAGCCTCCAAATTCCTCATCCCAGCGGGCCCCTTGGCATAAACCGCAAAATCCACACTCTCAAACCACCCCTCAAACTCTTCCTCCCCCAGCACGCCCTTCATCTCCTTCGCCACAGCCCTAGGCGGACAACCATAAGCGCCACAACCCATCGCCCCAAGTACCAATCTCCCCACACCCTCCCCCGCCGCCATCCTCAACACCAACCTAACCTTCTCCCGCACCTCCTCAACAACACTCTCCTCCCTAAACCCCACCTCCCCCTCCCCCTCCGTCACAACAGCAGGAAACCGCGGCCCCGCAACCGTCATAACAGCAACCACAAACCTTTGATCCGCAGGTAACTCAACAAGCCCATTATCAAGCGTATCCCTAAACACAACGACGTCGGGCGACATAACACCAGCCACACACCCCTCCCCCGTATTAGCCCACGGATACCATTCCGGCTTCAACGTCGCGTATAGGGTGGATGAGTAACATAAAGCTTCTTCCTGCGTGGAGGAGAGGGTGAAGCGCCAGCCGCCGCCGGGTTCGGCGTCGGAGGCTAGGTTCAGGATGCCGGGTTTGGTGGTGCCGGGGAGGGAGCGCGCCAGGGCGAAGGCGTCGCTGTTGTGGATTCTGATTGGAGGGTGTGCGGGGTGGGATGGGTATGTGGGGTGTGTTTTTGATAAAGGAGGGAGTTGGGATGGGATGAAGTAGCTGGTTAGGGAGCCGGAGGGTGTGGAGGATGCGATGGAGGCGGAGCGGGTTATTGTGTCTTCGCAGATGCGGCGGCGGGTTGCTAGGTCGAGCATTTTGGGGGGTTTGGTGGAGGTGTTTTCCATGCTCATTGTTTTTGGTGTTTTCTTGATGGAGTTTTGAGATGGATTAGATCAATCCTGCGAGTTGAGTAGGCAGCAGTTCTGGGACTTGTGGCGGTGCAATGTGGCGCAGTTACGGGTCAGGCAGTTGCGACTGTTGACAGAACCTTCCCTCCAACCTTCCATCGGGCCTTTCCCCAGGACACATCTACGAGAAAAATGAGCGAGGCAGGTGCGCTGTGCAGATGCCTGCTAATATCAGCCAAATGCTGCTCACCGGTAGATGGAAATTGCGCCGCCACTTTGAACCAACTTGACAACGTCCCACAGCCACCACGGCTATGACCATATAACTCTGCTACAACCTGCTCATACATTTCGAGCTCTTCACCATTAGCCCAAAACATATATCTAGGTATCGTTCAACACGAGCAGTGGCTTACGCCCTAATCCCTCCAACCCGACTTCCTCCAAAATGGAAACACAACACAAGTCCAGCACCCACCCCTTCCTCACCCTCTTCCCCCGCGAAATCCGCGACGAAATCTACACCCACCTCCTCACCTCCCTGCCCCCAAAACTCCAATACGCCCAACCCAGCGACCCCTCTCCTTTACCACCCCTCAGCTCGCGCCTCCCACCCTACCTACGCCTAAACCGTCAAATCAACCAAGAAGCTTCTGAGGTATATCTGCGCCACACTACCATCGCCGTCAACGACGTGATCAACCTGGAACTGTGGATGGTCGGTATGCCGTCCAGCGCATGGAGCTGCATCCAGCACCTCGAGATAGGGACTGTGCGGGAGACTGCACATGTACCACGATTGAGCCCTGTTTGGTATCGCGCTGGGAGCGTTGTTGATGTTGTGAAGAGATGTCCCGGGCTGAAAAGTCTTACTGTGGGTGTTCCGGGGAGTATGTTTTTGAAGAAGCAGAAAGAGAATGAGGAGTTGCAGGGCGCGAAGACATCGCGTTTGGTTAATGAAGCGACGTTTGGAGATACGACGGATCTTGCAGACATGATTGGTTCTACGAGGCTCCAGAAGCTGGAGTTGGTTTGCGTCGATGGTAATGAGTACTACTACGCCGATCTCAAGGACAGCGATGTGAAGCCGAATAAGAGTCTGACTTGGACTGCTTTGAAGGACGCGGCTCAGAATTGGGCTGAAGACTTTGTTGAGAAGAGCAGGAAGAAGCGAAGTAACGTTGATGTACAGGTCAAGATTATTCCGAACTTGGGGTGGTCATGGAGGGATGAGATGTGCTTTTGGTCGAAGGGACGTGTCACATCCTTTCAGTATCAATGCTGGTTTGGGTAGGAGTTTGGGGTTGGCGTTGCTGGACATTGCGTTTGAGTGTGAGTTGAAGGAATGATGGTGTAGTAGAATGAGACAAGTATTCATTCTGGTACTCCTCCGTATATACTAGTAAAATGACCGTCCATATGTTCCGTTCCACCGACTTGTGCTCTCCAAAGTACGTTTGAGAGACTTCGCATGCGAAGAGTACATCGCAATGACTCTCCGAATGGTTGCAACCACTCTACCCACGCCAGCAAGTGGCGGACCTGGCTTTTTGATAGAGCCCTCCTCCTGGAGAAGGCAGCCCTTCAACCCCACCAATTAGACCTTTGCAGTTATTGTCCCTATCACATGTTCTGTCAGCAACCAGCTTCAAGGACTTTGATTTCACATTGCCCACAGTACAAAAGAGAACCCAGCCGCGTAGCATAGCGCATAGCACAATGATAACTTACCGGAAAAATCGGCATCTATAGCCAGCAAAAACTGTACAGGTACTGGCCTGTCCAGGGAAGTTTGGCGAACAGCCACCGTTGGCTATCAGAGGGGCTCTATGACTTAGATGATCGGGTATGCCGCCTGGTTCATAGTAGATGTAGCCGGCGTCAGAAGCACGTGAAACCAGATGCGTGGCCTCTGTTTCGGCAGTTGGAAGACCGCTCGCTAGAAGTGGGAGAGCAACGAGTGAGAGGAGGGCAGCGAGATGCATGGCTGGTCGTTTTGCGGATAGTTTGGTAGCAAGAGGTGGTTTAGAGTAAGATGGGGTGATCGGAGTGTTCAGTGACACTATATGTAGCGACAGAGAGAAGGCAGTTTATATAGACAGCGAGAGAGTGCTGAAAAGACCTCAGCGATAGATGCACGGTGAGAAATGGTGATACTACCATGTGAGATTCTAGCACAGTCTGGCTCGTCTGATGTGCACCAACATACAGGCGCGCCCTTACTTTTGTTGGATCTGTCGAATTCGTAGAATCATTTTATCCTACTATTGTTCTTGCAATAAAGATGAGAATATAACAAGAAGATCTCGCGCACAGTGGGCCGGTTGATCTTCGCATAAGCCTTTCGTGTATTTACCCATAGCAGCACACCACAGATCAACACAGAATTCCACTCAAGCGCTGGTAGATCTGCAAGCTCACATGTATGTGTCTGGTATTTGTCGTTCCTGACCGCACTCCATGTTTATCGTGGATGAAGCATGAACAGCTGAGCTGAACGATTAAACCTACAGTGAAGGATAGCTCGTCCAAGGCTGTAAATGTAAGAACATCCAACTGTTTGCGTAATTTCAATAACTATAACTTATCAAAGACGTAGAGTTTTCCATACTGTGTATAAAAATGTTCAGGAAGTACACAAGCATTGCAATAACTAGCGTGTTGCTTAGCTGCGCCGTACCTGCGTTTTGAACCCCTGCACATTCAATGAACAATAGTAAGAATATCCAGCGAGCAACCGCCATTAGCGAATGGCTTACGGATGGGGATCGCGCTTGCACTCCTTACTCCGGCTATATCCCGAGGTCTTCTAGACCTTGACGGGGTAGCGGGTATGTTTGTGGACCGGCAGACTGGCACCCAGTAGTACTCGTGTGGCGTGGTGTGTGTACATACGATGGGCCCAGGTGTACTGAAACACGAAAAAGTAGTTGCAATTCTTGACACATGGTTAGCCTTCGAACTTTAGGCCTGCCGCGGAAGCTCCTCGGACGTCTCAAGATCGTGTATCTCTGCTCGTGGACCTTTGCAGCTCACGCGTCAGTTTCGCGTCGGAGGCAGATAGGCGAACATCATTACCAACACTTCTTGAACCCCATTACCCTCCAAAGACTCAGTATCTCCGGGAGCAACATCTCAGCCCAACCCCAAGATATCCAAACTCCCCCACTCCCTCACCACTGGCCTCACACCCCCACCCCGCCTCGCCCCCTCTTCCATATCACACCCCAACCCAACCCTCCCACAAGCCGCAATCGCCAAACTCCCCGAAGCATGAACAAGACTCCCTACAACAGGTATCTTCCCATCACCCACCTCCACCACCTCATCAGCCTGTACAGCTCCCTCCCTTCTATACGGATCCCTCCAAACCCTCACTTTCCCATCCGTCCCACCTGCCCAAACCTCATGCGAAACCCCCTCAACATCATACGGACTCTGTCCCGCATTCCACACATCAAACCCCAGTTTCTGACGAGTGAGCGCTTGTCTACCCGCACAGTACCCCAGGGTGAGCGAGAAATTGCGGACGTCGTAGATGAGGAGGACGTCTGAACTGCGTTCCGCGACGTAGAGGTATTTGCCGCAAGGGCTCCATTTTAGGGATGTGACGCCGTCGCCCATGACGCTTTGAAGGTTTTCGTTGCGGAATTTGATGCCGTTGATTGTTCCTGGGAGCGAGAAATGTGTTATTTCGGTGCCGCCGATGGGGTCGTAGATGCCGATATAGCGGGTGCGGGAGCCGGCTGCTAGAATCCCATCGTGTGATGTATAGGAGGGGGGTGAGAGGGACAAAGCGGAAATAAGGCCTTTGAAGCCGCGACCTCCGCCTTTGAGTTTGTTGCGTTTGGCGGGTATGGTGCGGATTGTGTGAATTGGTTTATCGGTCTCGACAAGATCGAAGATGGCAATTTCGTCTTTCGAGCCGGCGAAGAAATGTGTGCCGGTGGTGGAGTAAGCGAGGCTGAGGGGTGCGATGACGGCTTCAGTCAGGTTGTTGATGAGTTTGTAGGATGCTAGAGGGGTGGATATGTGCACCGGTCCTGAGGTCTGATTATCTTCGTTGGGTTTTTGCGAGGTAGGCCATAATGCGTTGTGCAGACTGATGTAGGCATCTCTCCGACTGATAAGCACAGTCGTGCTGCTGGCATCTTGTAAATTGAAGAGCGGGTTGACAGCAAAAGCCCATATGGGATCAGCAGAGCGAAGAGACGCGTAGGGCGTGAGAGGCTGGGGGTTGGTCTGAGTCAGAATGTCGTTGGAGATGGGATACACGGAAAATTGACGGCTGTAATCCGACGTGAAAACGCAGCTACCATCCGGTGAAAGTTGGGCTTCTTGTATGCAACTCGTGTACGGTTTGGCATCAGATAAGTGTTCAGAGTTACCAGAGTCGCTGCCATTTTCTGATTCCGATTCCAATTCCGATTCCAATTCCGATTGGGAAGATGGAAGCGATGATCTTCGAGAGGATTGGCCGTCCGAAGCGTCTTTGTTGTTCTTGTCTTCCGGTTCGTCTTCCATGGACTGCTGTGGCACATGATCGCTACTAGCCATCATCCTCTCTGCCTCGTCCACCTCATTTGATTCAGCACGACCCCGATCTTCATCCCTGTCCTCCTCTCGTTCCTTCTCCTGCGCGTCGCATCTTGAAATCCTTGTGCTAGCCAGACATCTCACATTCATAGCCGAAACAGACATTCTTTCAACGCGCCATCTTCTTCCCGCGAATACCACTTGACACACGAAAAAAAAGAATGGTATCGTCAAACACTTGTGTATTAGGAAAACATTCAGATGAGCAAGGTACTCGCGTAGTCAGGACGAAAGAAGTAGACAGTGCACTAGCTTGCGCACAGACCCTCCGTTCTTCCAACGCAATGTCTCGATCATCATCGTCATGGCCCGCCGAATTACTTTCCCACCATGCTCGACTCCTCACGCGCACAACCACCACAAGCATGGGTTGAATCGCCATACTTGAGGTCGCTCATAGTAAGTAATCAGATCTTTCAGATGTCAGAAAATTGCCTCCCAATTGCTCTCGCTCTGCCGATATCGGGTTAAGGCGCATCATCTACATCTTTTATTGCCATTGCGAAGCTACTGGGCCAGATGCCGTCGAGATTCCGTACAATACTCGCAACAGATGTTCATTTCTACACTTCCTCTATCTCCTCCACTCACCATACTACCGTCCCAAACACACAAATCCACACACAACTAACACCCACCCCAGGCAGGCGGCCTAGCAGGCACAACAGTCGACCTATCCCTCTACCCCCTCGACACGCTAAAAACACGCCTCCAATCCGCCTCCGGCTTCGCCGCCAGCGGCGGCTTCAACGGCATCTACCGGGGCGTCGGCAGCGCAATCGTCGGGTCCGCGCCCGGCGCCGCCCTCTTCTTCATAACCTACGACACGATAAAACGGACCTTCGCCCAGAGCCAAAGTCTAGCTACAACCACCGTACGTTATAACGCGGAAGGAAAACCGTATAAAGAAGATGCTCGGGACAGTGGTACGGAAGCGCTTGTACATATGGCAGCCGCGAGTGCGGGGGAGGTTGCTGCGTGCGCGGTGCGTGTACCAACGGAGGTTATAAAACAACGCGCCCAAGCATCCCAACACCCCTCCTCCCTCTCCGCACTCACCTTCATCCTGCGCCAGCGCCACACCCACGGTCTCGCACACGTGTGGATGGAACTCTACCGGGGGTGGTCAATAACCATAATCCGCGAAGTGCCGTTCACAGTAATCCAATTCCCGCTCTGGGAGGCGCTGAAGAAGTGGCGGATGAGCCGGACAGGGCGGAGCGAGGTAACGGGTCTAGAAGGGGGTTTGCTGGGGAGTGTGGCGGGAGCTGTGGCGGCGGGTGTGACGACGCCGTTGGATGTGCTTAAGACGAGGATGATGCTTGCGAGGGAGAAACAGCCTATGATGCAGATGTTGGCGTCGATTATGAGGGAGAGTGGGCCGAGGGCTTTCTTCGCGGGGATGGGACCGCGGGTGGGTTGGATTAGTGTTGGGGGGGCGATTTTCTTGGGGAGTTATCAGTGGGCGAGTAATGCGTTGGGGGGTGTGGTTGAGGAGTGAGGTGTGAGCGGTATGGTTGATCATGGAGGAGGTTTTGGAGAAAGGGTGGAGGAGGGAAGAGCGATAATGAGAGTATAGGATTACGTTCATCCTACTCAGCCGTATGAGGCCGAGGCCACGGACTCATGCAAGAGTCTACTGGCAAGCGGGTATGCTATATACACTATTCAACCCCTCTGGTCTTTATCCAAAGAACAATACCAAGACCCCCTACCGAGCTGCAACGCAGCCAGCCACCTTGTCCCTCTCCCTATCCAACTCAACCACACCAAATCCATTCCAAACACAACCTACGGTCCAAAAACCGCAGCATCCTTGGTACTCCTATCCGCCTCGCTGCTCTGCTTCCCCTCACTCGCATTGCTACTCCCAGGCTGCGAGTTCAACCCGGCACCCACCTTCAATCCATGCATAGGACCAGGAGGCGCACCAGATTGCGGTCCAGGGTAAGGCGCATGTCTGATTTCCTTTCGGCCATTGGCTTTGTAAAGGAGGAGGACGTCGCCGCCACCGCGCCAGATGTGTGCGCGTATACTAGCGAGTGTCATGGTTGGCGGGATTAACTATTCACAAACAATGATTAGCACAATTCCCTCCACCAACGTTATATAACACTTGACTGGAAGACTCACCTGATTATTACAATACAACTCCAAATACTCATCCGGCTTGAGGACACCGCCACTCTCCGCCGACTTCTCGAGATCCTCCTTGGTGGGCGCGGGTTCAATGCGCTCAGCGACATAACCCAGTATCTTGCGTGCGCGCAACATTCTATTTGCGTTGAGGCGGTTGTTACTGAGAGTCGCGTTAGCGCTGGCGGCGGTTTCGAAGGGGAGGGCAAAGGGAATGTACCCGTCGGATGAGATGGAGGGGAGCGTGTTGTTAAACGGTTCAAGTACGAAGGACACTTTGACGATGTCTTTGGGCGGGAGCTGGTTCTGTGAGGGGGTAGTTAGTAAAGATGGGGTGGTTTGAATGTATGGGGCGACAAACTCGTAGTAGGACTTCTGCTAGCCACATTGGTGCGGCTTTCTCGATGAGGTCGGCTTGGGTTCCTAGGGTTCCGACTTTGCCCTCGAATAGATCGGCTACACCGCCGGAGTCGGGGCGGTCCTCCTGAATCAGAATGGTGGTCATAGCAGGTGGTTTGAGTACAGGTGTTTCGTTGGGCAGACTGGGTGCAATCTGTGTGTCCAGCTTGGTCGCGCCGGCCGCAAGCTGTTCCTCGTAACCCTGCCTTATCCGTTGAAGAGCGCCGAAGAAGTTATCTTCAATGGTCTTCTCATCCGTCTTGTTGGAGTGTGCATCGCTGTCCTCGGCCTTTTCGTCAACGGCTGGTTTGGCTGGCTCTGGAGCGGCTGTGCCAGTGCTGAACTTCTTCATGCTAAAGCCCATGTTAAACTTCTTACCAAACATGCCTTTGCCCTTCTTAGCTGGCGTGTCGGCCTCGGTAGGTGATTGGACAGTCTCCTCTTTTGAGTCCGCAGAGCCGTCTTTCGAAGCCTCGGTGGCTTTTCCACTTCCGTTGCCGTTAGCAGCAGAGGCAGAACCGAAGTAGTCACCGCCTTCTTGAGTCGAGCTCCGTTGGGTTTGCGTCTTCTCCAGCTGTGCGCCCTCTTCCTTGGTTGGAGTCAAGGGGTTGGTGGTAGAGTTGCGTCCTGCACTCATCGGTGCTGCCATTGGCGTGGCTAGCCCGATAGCCAGACCTGGTGTGTGTGGTAGGCGCATCCCGTCAGCTCTGATAGTCGAGCCTGAAGCAGGCCCTGAAGTCGCATCTGTCCATCCGTTGATGTTCATGTTCGGTAGCTCGATATTTGTCGGGCGACCCGGCTGAGGTTGTTCCTCCTTCTGTTTGAGCAGCTCTGCACGCAGGACCTCATCGCGCTTGATTTCCTCGTCGATGAGGTTCGAGAAGAGGTATCGTAATATCCATTTGCCAAGGTTTATGCGATGGTCTTCCCGGAAGTCAATCTGCTCCTCCAGTTCCAGCTCATCTGCGTATGTCTCGGCATCGAAGCAGTAGTTCTCTTCGAGCATGCACGTCAAGGTCCCTATCCTTGTATCGACAGCGCACCAGTGAGCAACAGTGTCGACGGTGTTAACCTCTGGCACAACGTCCTCCATGTGCTTCTTGCCGTATGACTTGATCGGTGCGCATTGTAGTAGATCCCATAGAACCACCTCGCCTGCAGTGTCGAGAGTGAGGACTCTTCGCCGATCGTTGAGCAGATGATGCTTGATGAGACCGTTCTGTCCTTCGATTGTAAAGTCTGGGAGCGCCCGGACAGTCCCAACAGCACTGTGCTCGGGAGCCGCTAGTACTTCGGAGGGTTTGCGGGTGCTGGCTAGAGTTGAGGTGTCGGCATCCTTGGTCGCAAGGGCTTGCGGGAATGGCGCAGTATTGGACATGCGTAGTAGAGACTTGAGCGGAATCTTGGACGTTTCGTTCTTCGGAGGGCTGCCAGCAGGAGGCGAAGGAATGCGCGATCGCATAGTCGACACGCTGTTCCTGTGCCACTTGTAGGATTCTGGAAGCTCGACCTCGGCCGCGGTTTCGACGTCGTTCCACCGGTTGATGCTCGAGCTGGAGGTTGCAGTCCAGATATAGTCGCCAGCTGCGACAACCTTGTTCACACCCTCGTGCTCCTGACACACTGCTAGCGAGAGACCTTCGTCCATCTCGGCGCAGTTGCGTACATCACTTTTGGCGACTATGCCAGAGCGGTCGGAAGAGTAGAAGACGTCGAGTTCGGGCGAGTCGGAGTGCAGAGACCAGACGCTGTCGTTGTGCATAGTAAGCGTGTACATGCAGCGGCCTGCCGTCATGGACCACACCTTGACCGTCTGATCAGACGAGCCCGTCAGGATCATGTCGCCGTCCTGCGCCAGGAGGATATCGCGCACATTGTCCGTGTGTCCGACAAACTTGGTGATGCGCTTGCCCGACCTCGCGTCCCACACGCGGACGATGCTCTCGGGCCCGCCACTAGCGATGAGGTTGGGTGTTGCTGCCAGGGCGTATACAGAGCCCTTGGCGGTGTTCTCATCCTCGCCGACAGCAATCTCCAGCTTCTTGCCCGCGCCATTGAGGTCCCACAAGCTGATCTTGCGGTCGAGGCCGCCCGAAGCTACCCAGTTCTCGTTGCCGCCCGGCGATGCAACGCGCTTGACGTAGTCGGTGTGCAGGCCAATCGTCTGCGGGGGCAGCTTGTCGGTGGCAGCGGGTCGCCATACCTTGACGGTGATGTCGGAGGAGGCGGAGACGAGGGCGTCGTTGTTCTGGGCGAGGACGATGTCGTTGATCCAGTGGGTGTGGGCCTGGACCTGGTTGCGGAACTGCGTGGGCGGGGGCTTGGAGTCGGCCGTGTTGGAGTCGGCGAAGGGGTCGTCGTCGTCGGCGGTCGAGTGGTCGAGGTCGAGATGCAGGTCCCAGGCGCAGATTACGCCATCACGGCCGCCCGAGTAGAGGATCGAGTTCTGGGGGTCGACAGCCAAGCCATTGACTCCCAGCCTGTGGCCGCCCGCCGAGTTGGCCAGTGGCAGCACTGCGCGCCCAGGTCAGCTCCAGTTCCAGCTCAGCTTGTCGCGACGGCGCATGCAG